TAGTACACTTAGTATAAGGGAGACTGGAACAGATCCTTAGCTCACCCCTGAACATAGTCTGATTTCCATTGTGTCATTGCCTACTCACTAACGTTTGCAGCCTGCAAGAGGAAAGACAAAAGTTGTTTATCCAGAACCACCTCAAGGCTTCTCAGCAACAAAGGAAAAACTGAGTTTTGTCATTGCAAGCAGAAAAGAGGCTAAGGCCAGGCTGGGCTATTCTTGAAGTAGGAAGGGGACAGGTAGAAAGTGAAAGCATGGAGGAGGCTTGAAGGGTTAATCTTTTTGCTTCTCTTGCCTAAGGAAACGGCAGAGTCAGGAAGGGTCTCCTCTCTCCCCAAAAGTGCCATTGCCCTACATATACCAACCCCTCCACTGGCAGCAACAACAAGATGGGATGATGATGTCAGCACTGTCTAGAACCAGCTGAAGAATCATTATCATCATCAGTGCCTCTAAATTTATGGCAATCCTTGAGGAGCAATGGAAATGGAAGCACAGCACAATGAATTTCACCTGTGATGGAAGCAGTGGCCAGCTCCCAAAGATTGCTTCTGTGTGTCCAACAAACTTATGTGAGACCAACTAAAAGGGTATGTGTGTGTGTGGGGGGGGGGTGTTTAACTGCAACTGTTAATCCAACAGAAACTGTTAAAGGACAACAGAAACAGCAGCAACATAATTAACATAAGTAACGTGAGAACAAGAATATAACAGTGCCTCAAGGTTTAACATTCAGACAAAGTCTGGGAGTGATTTAGGCTGAGCTCTCTTGGGAAACTTTAGCATGGTGAAGTGTGTGAGGAGGGAGGCAGGGAAAGAAATGGGCTGTATGTAAAACTAAAGCTCTCAGAAGTCACTCTTGCATGTCTTTTATTCAAATACACAGGGAAAACACCCATCCACACTTTGGCTCGTAGCTGCTGTTAGAGCACCAGCCTCACAGCACTTGGGGCCTTAGTTTTCTTCCTGATAAGGACTAATGTTATACACCCGGAATAATAACCAAAACATGGTAGCAGCTTAAGATCATCTCTCACTTTTCAGTGTATGAGGGGTAAGAACCAAGAGAGAACTCTGAATGCCAAAGAGAGCAGAACTTCCTAGGATTTCCTTGAGGTTATCATCTACTGTTACATTAACTAGAATAGCAATTTAAGCCCTCCATGTTTCAGGATATGGACCAGCCAGCAGCATTCTTAGCTTAGGAAGAAATTTCAACCTCACTGGCATGTTGATGTCCATTGATTGTAGCTACTTCTATTCTGAAGCGTATGTGTTGGCCACTGCTGGAGATGAGTTAATCACAGGCTTCTAGATGGCAACATCTGCTGCT